AATATATAAATATATAAATATATAAATATATAAATATATAAATATATAAATATATAAATATATAAATATACAAATATACAAATATACAAATATACAAATATATAAATATATAAATATATAAATATATAAATATAAATATAAATATAAATATCCTCGAGGCAGTACCCTCGTTTGGGTCGCTTGGTGGTACGTAAAGAGCTTATTCGCCAACTTCTGAATCCCTTACACTCGCCGCTTTGAACGAACCGAAAGCAATCCAACATCAATCTTCTGAGGGATTCTCGAAACCACACTTTGTCTACAGGCAATACTCATCTCAGTTTGTATCTGACAAAAAATGTAGCGGGCAGATTTCTTGACCTATCGGCTTAAAATGGCCGACAGAGCCGAGAAGGATCCGTCATCGACGAGGTCACTTCATGACCTGCTTTCTCAGCCTGTTCTATCAATTTAAGTGCAAACTTGTGAGTAGCTGTTAAGTAGTATGCATCACGCGTAAGAAAGAATGGGCCGATTTGAGGGCTATTCCCTGGCCCTGTCGGGCAGAACACGAACTCGTCTTGGAAGCAGTATTGCCTGTGCGCCAATGGCATTACAAGCCATCGTCTTTGGGAGGAATACACAAAACGGCAAAAATAGTCTGTCTGAAAAAGCGCCAATTAGTCACACACACATTCACACACACCCATATTCATGCACATGTCAACTTGCGTCTGGTAGACACACAAGGGGGCGACTTGTAGGAAACCGGACTTGAGAGGCTGGGGCATCCTGAAATATTCACCAGCCTCGAGGCGTTTGGGCAGAGAATGAAAACAGAGAATGGACCAAATCTTGGCCGTACAGGCTAGAAAGTCAGCAGCAGCCCTGACGTTCACAGCCGACTTGGCATTGCATTGTCACCGGCTCAGATAATACCATTTTTGTCGGGTTCATTGGCTTCGATGCTCCGGTACAGTCTCTCTCTCTCCCTCCCTCCCTCTGCCCTCTCACACACACATACACACAGATACACGTCTTAGCCTCTTCTGTACCGACAGACAGGACAAATCAGATCCGTTAAGCACCGGTCCAACGACCCTGACTTGGATGGAAATGCAAAATGGCCGGGCAGCTTGTTGTGGACTTGCAAAAAACGGCAAAAAATGTAGGGTCAGTGACTTCTTTGTCCGCTTTCTTTTGCAATATTCCCGGTCTAAATTGTCCCCAGAAAGTAAATAAACCATTATACGTAAAAGTGATCAACAGTTGTCAAGGTAACTCACGCTCATATTGGCACATTTGTTCGAAATGCCTTTAGGCGAGCATTATAATTGCCTAATTTTTCTTCGAGCTTGACAGCAATTTCACACTCGCTCCCGGTGATCTCTTTGAGCACCGGGACTCGAACCCTCCGTCAGCCAATCAGCTCTCAGCTGCCCAATTGTCTTTTCGAGAAGAGTCCAGCTGAGAAAGAAGGCGGCGACTGCAGACAAGAGGGAAAGATAAATCTGAAACGGAACCTCAATTCGGATGAAAGAAAACTCTAAGATTGAGCATAGACCATTTTTTAGCATCCCCAAAAATGTAGTCCTGGGCTGAATTCCATACCTCTTTCTGCATTCAACTTTAACTTTAGGTATGGTTTCATAGCCTTGCCTGGACTTCAGATTTGCTATAAAAGCAAAGTCCAGACCTCATTCTAAACCCAACCCCAAGCCTTATTTCAGACTTAACGTTAAAGCTTGGTCCTTCATATAAACCCAGGCTCGAAGCGAATTATGGCGCCAAAGTGAACTATGAGTTTGTCAGTAATACCCTAATTCTTAAACCAAGACAAGAGTCAACAAGCATTCTGATCCTATCCGATATCTCGCCGCTAATACACCTAGCAACAGGACATTTTCTTAACAAGGTATCGTAGATACAACACTGGATTTTAGGCCTTTATCTAAACCCAATCCCACCCATTTTGTAGCCTCATTTATGAGCTGGAAGCCAAAGCAAATCCAGATTTAATGCAAAAACCAATTACTCATTATTAAATCCCAAAATTGCAGTCTTCATTATTCTGGCCAATTTTAATACAAATTGTAATCCTAACTTGTCCCGAAAGTCAACAATATGCCATACTATTGCATTATACTCCGTTTTAGATCAAAATGGGGATTGCAATTAAAGACTGGAAACTGTACCACTCAATGATGTGGAAAAAATATGTGTATTCGAGTGAAATGGATGGCTAGGTAGGTAAATAAAAACTAATTACTCAGAAGGGGAGATTGATAGACAGATGGACAGATATAAATATAGAAAAGAATCATATAAAATTATTTAAAAATGTGTATATAATAATAGTTACATATATGCAAACCAAAAGCCGATGAGTTTATCATATCCTTTTAGATGAATGCAGGTTTGCCCAACTTATTTTATGGAAGTTTTTCTAATTTATATAAAACGATTTTATTTCAACCAATTGATGCATCGTTTGTTGCCTAAAGGAAAAAATAATTAATTAAATTTAGGTTACTTCAAGTCTTAGTTCTAGTGCTGCCTAGTTTCATCAAACAAATAAATACAGCCCACTTGATCCCAAAAGACAATCAGGCTCAAACCAACGGCCAGTGCACCAGATGCCAAGCAGTGACCGAACTACTTTTGCCCTAAATCTAAACCTTATTATGGCAATAGGAATATTTATTTCTTATTATTTATTTTTTTAATTATTTTAATAGGTAGTTTAATATTATTTTTATTTGAAGTATAGTAAGCCTACTAAAATAAACAACCTTTGCACACATATTCAGAACTTTATTGCAAACCTTGAATACGATAGATTTCATTGGCATTGACTTACCCTTAGCTTGTGATATGAGAGATGTGGTATTCAGCAAATTTAATGGTAAGTTAATGAAATAATACACAATGCAAATGCCTATAAGCGACATAATATTTATTCTAGTTATTGCTTTTATATGCTATAAAATTCGTACTATTTTTGGAAGTAAGCAAACTGGGCAGGTGTAATGGCAGTAAGCTCGAGTAAGACGTTATTTCACTCGGCTAAACGGCCAATTACAAAATGCAGTTAACATTTAAATTCAATTCAATTATTAATTGCTTGGAAATTGAAACTTGCTTTGGTGTTTACATTTGTCTGGCCTATAAAAAATAAACATGGCCCACTTGATACCGGGAGGCAATACTACTCAAATAAGTGTCCGATACATTTTAATTAAATAGCCTTAACGTCCAATGGCCAACGGTAGTTAAATGACTGCTCGTCGTTTATAAATAATTAATTATGGAAACATGACATCACTGATCCTTAGGCATAGTTGCAAAATTGTTTTAAGTTAATTTAGCCGTTTTTTATTGGTTTATCACGAAGACACATAATCTTAGCCTGATTTGAGAAATATTTTAATTGGTAAATTTAATATAAATTAATATAAAAATAAATAAAAATAAATAAATAAATTTAGTATAAATACTTATAAACAACATGATGTTGAACATGTCAATTAATCAAACCACTCTATATCGATCTGTCTAGATTTGTAATTTTTAATCTATTGACTCGACTTAGTCCATATAAGAAGTAAGATAAATCCGGATAGTGTTCTTGGTTTAGTATTAACGTGAAACTTTTACAACAATGAAACCCAGCTCTGATGATGTCCATCATATGATGGACGAAAGCTCAGCACGTTTTCGCCCGAAAAGAA